CGCTCGATGCAGCTACCCTTTTCGCCTGGCCCCTCTCCCCCTCCCCCCTTACCCCCGCCGCCTTTCCCAGCTCAACCCGCCTCACAGCCCCCTTCCACACATCCTTCCAGCCCAGCTCCTCCTCCTATGCCCTCTCCCACTACCTTTCTACCTTCCCCTCCATCGCCGTCCCTGCAGCCCTCATCACCATCACTATCTCCTGAAACTGCATCGTTTCCAAGTCCCTCTCCCCCGTATCTCCCAAATTCATCTCCTGCATCCCCAACGCCGCCGTTTCTCCAGCCACCGCCTTCCCGTTCACCTTTACCCCTCCCGATCCCCGCTACTCTCGCCCCACAACCCCCATCGCCCGCTACTCCTACACCTTCCTCGCAGCCGTCCTCCCCGCATCCTCCCAGACCGTTTTCACCTTTCTCGGTAGGACAACCCCCTTCTCCCTTCGGTCCCCCCCCACCGTCCCCCGTTCTACCCGCTCCCCCTCAACCCTCTCCCTTTTCACCCTTTCCACACCCGCACTCTTCTCCCCCACTTTCTCCACTCCCACTCCCCCAACAGCCTCCTTCCTCAACCCCTCCCCCCCCTCACACTCCTCCTCCACGCCGCCCGCAACCCCCTTCTCCCATCCCGCATCCACCTTTTCCCCCAATGCCGGCCTCGCCTGCAGCTCTGCAACCAGCATCACCCGCATCTACAGAAGCCAAATGCGACCTTTCTGCCAAGCAAGCCAGCTTTACCGTGCCTAGAATCTCTAGGGGGACCTTTTACATCGCCATTTCAGTTATCGGCCAGTCCAATTTACTGTACTGTAAGACCTGCGGCTGCAGTGTCATGTATGCGGTTCTTGCACGCGGAGTGTCATCGCTCTACTTGTCGTCCTCTTCTGCGGCCCAAGTAAAGCAGGCAAATGTAAGTGATGGTGATGGCAGCAGTATCGGTGTTACAACCAGCAGCAGTAACACAGCAACCAGCAGGAAATTTCCAATTGGGAAGCTTATGACGGGCATCAGCACTGATAGCGTCACTGATAGTGGGCCCATCATCGGAAAGGAAGCAATTATTCCGGTACGCTCCCTTCCACCGCCGTTTCGACCACGGCAGCATGAGCAGCATGAGCAGCATGAGCAGCAACTGATCCCAGCAGGCAACCCCGATCACGGGGTTCGCCGTCGAGCAGCGGCAACAGCATCCGATCTTCCTTCCCTGGAGGACCTTATAATGCAAGATGGAAATTCAACAACAAACACAACACGGACGGACGGGACTGTGTTGCAGGTAAACATTTTTGTGCGAAACGTCGTCGAGTTTCCTGGGTGGTCACCTGTATGATTTTTACTGCCTGTATAAGCTGTGTCCTGAAAAATTATGTGGGGACTGTCCCTCATAGGCTAACTATAAATCTATATATAGGGGACTACCATTTCGTAAAATCAGCACCTTTCCATCAGTTATTCTCATCAGTGGTTGTTCTCAGTCGTACCCTTGGTATATTGGGTAGCTAGGAACCGTCTATCCTATTATACGAGGGTGCGGTCTATGGACGATAGACCCTAAAGGGGACACAACTCTAAAGGGGACACAATCCTAAAGGGGACAACCCAGAGGTTTAACAGACGTGGCTTCATCAGAAACTCGTGAGGATGCGACTACTGTTTATGTACTTACATATTTCGACAAATGATACCCCATCCCACTGCCATGATTCTTTGGATCTGAGTTCTACCTGCATTACCTGCCATCGTCTCGTTCCTCACCAGGAGATGGCGACGAACGGCACTGGAAAAGGTGTGGACAGCCTTGCTGCGGCGTGGCGAATGCAGCCTGGATCCAGCGGCGACTACCTCCTCCGAATACAAGTGAGTGGAATGGGCTCGATGTTGGTGTACAGCAACCTGATCATTGGGATAACCAGCTTGTTACGCCACCTTTTGTAGGTTGTAGTGCTTGGGTGTAGTGCCAATTGGCCACGCGCCAAGCTTATTGGTTTCCGCTGCTGCGTGCCGCAAGCCCCACCGGTTTATATACTTACAGATCAATGCAGCCGTGAAACCCTGCATGTGACATTAATATTCTATCAGCAGCTGTAAATGCTTATTACACAAGGCTAGTGCGTCAGTGAGGTTTTTGATCGAATATAGGCTGCACCCTCGCGTAATAGATAGGGACGACGGTCGTCCTTACCTATTACACGGGGGTGTGACCTTTAGGTGATCAAAACATGTTCTGACGTGCTGATTCTAACCCTAAACCCCTAAACCCCTAAGATCTCCTGGCTGCACGCCTGCTGGCTGCACGCCTGCTGGCAGCACGCAGCGTCAAAGAGCCTCTCCTTTTTTGCTCCCCACGCACCCTATAGGTCGCTGGATCTGTTTGGTGGCGATGGGTCGTGGTGGACATTGATCCTCCATATGCTACTGCGCAGCTTTCCGTTTCCAAGACCACGGTGACACTTGAAAACCCGTTGATGACCGGCGAAGTAACACCACTGCGGTACATGCTCGTACAATTTACTACGTCCGAGCCTGTACAGCAGTTTGACCTGGGTTCGACTTTGCAGTTATCTGAAAGTATGACCCTTCTTAGCGCACAATGCTTCAAGTCATCAAAGGCAGCGTCAGAAATAGCGAAGGCGGCGACAACCATAACAGTGGCCACCGTTGCAGCGCCGCTGCCCCCTGAAGCAGCCCCTGCTGCCGGCCTACCGCCACCTACGCTGGCAGCGGCAGCCCTGCCTAATAAAATCCATGTCGGACTTCTGGACACGTTTGGCTTGCCGTATGTACAGTCCTGCTTGGCAGTGGTCTATGCTTCCGAGGGCAGTAAGCTGACGATCACCCTGCCAGATGGTACCATTAAAGACTTGGCAGGCAACCCGAGCTCCAGGTGAGCTCGTATTGAGCAGATTTTTATCCATCGCATCGCGGACCGAAGACACGAAAACCGTTACTATGTAATTAGATCGTGTAACTGTAAACCGAAGTGCGCTATCAACTTCCTTCATGTCGCTATAACTAAAAATGTACAAAAAGAAATGTATCCATAATGATGCACATGCGCAGGCACACATGTATGCATGCGAAGCTCCAGCGGTAGAACTTTGGAGGGAGATGGATTTGAGGAGATAAAATAGCAAAACAATACCCTAAGAAGTATGCATTCCTGCTGTTTATGATAGGCACGTTAGTCAATCCTTTGTCAACGGCTTAGCTAGCCAACGGCTTAGTCTAAAGGTGTGTAAAGGTGTGGGACAGTGGGGCATATGGCCGCTACCCGGCGAAACCCTGGCCGCTACCCGGCGAAACCCTGCCTTCCCCGGCTTAGTCGGTATGCATGCATATTGGCAGTTGTTCAAGTACCGTCTAATACGATGTCGCTTGCTTGTCCTCGCTGTTTCTCCCATCTTGCTTAGGTTGCTTCTCCTGGAGACCGAACTTACAGAAGCAACACTGGGCTCAAGCACAAGCGCAATTCGTGGGCCCGCGGGTAGCCTAGTCAGCAACATCATTACAAGTGCTACCGTTGCCGCTGCCTCGGCTTCCTCCTTCTCGGTCCTGTCATCGCGCTTATCAATGCTACAGAGTGCATACCATATCCAGGTGACTTGAGGCCAGGATTCCCACTTCTTGATGCCCACTTCCCGAGCGAAAGACGACACCGTACGTTTCTTGCTGCTGCAGTGCTGAAACGACGCAGTAGCATGCAAGGGAGATTATAACGTACATAGTAAAATGACATTACAGGGAACCCTTCGAACTGTCAATGAGATCTGCCCATTGCTGTGACTTGCATATTCTAACACATACGGGACTTCCGTCTCCCGGGTTCTTATTGCCTGCCCTTGCTTTACCATCACAGATTCTGGCAATGACTGCTAGCCTGGCATCACCAGGAGTGAGCTTACGTTACCGCCAAGTCGCCGGCGGCCTGCGATGGTCTGTTGCAGGCATCAAGGGCAACATCCCAATCCTTGACAGCGCCTTCGGCAACAACCCCAGGGATGTCGACACCACGGAGCAAGCTAATGCAGCACTGGGTGTTAACCTGCAGTCCATTTCTGCTGGCTACAATGATACCGAAGTCCGTGCAGATGCTCCCTCAGCATGGCCAGCATCACCAGAAGTACGACAACCGGTGGCCGCGTTTGAAGCGTCCATACTCCGAAGTGCACTAGTGCGACGTTCCTTGGTATCGGCATTGCCTGTACAGGCGCCTTCGCCACCTTTGGAAACGCCCCAGATGCCCCTGAACGAAATGGCAGAAGTGCAATCTATCTCACCAATGTTAACATCAGCCGATCGTACCGCATCCCCCACCCCATCCGATGATGAGGCGTACGGTATAGCCGCGCTGCTTTCATGGCTACAAAGCATGTCGGAGTTTGATCCTGAAAACGGCAGCAATGTGACTAGCTTGTACATTATTGGAGGGGCAGCTATCAAAAATGGCAGCGTGGCGGCTGTGGACCCCAGAGGGCGAGGAGTATTTGTAAATGGCAGCTTTGGTCTTGGTAATTCGACGGCAGGAGAATCATCAAGCGTTGGCGTACCTGCTAATCCAAGCTCCGCTAAGCCTATTATCCAGATCGGCACACAGGATATAGTGTACACGCTTTGCACCGCAGCGATTCTCATGGGTGGCTTGCTGATAGGCCACCTTGCGGCGATCCTGCTGTATCGGGCATGCATCGGGCAGAAATTACCCACTCCACTCCATTTTCCACGTCTCGAGCTAACTCTGGCTGGTAAGTATTTGCTTTTGGATACTCTACGCTTATAAGCATGTAGAATTATGTACCGTCGTTAATGTTGTCGATGGCAGCACTATCTGCATGCATGGGAAGGAAAACAAAGGGAAAAAGCTTAAGGGATGATGGTCTGCTACAGTCCTGTGCACGCATCCATGGTCGCAGCAGCAGCGTACAACCCCTGCACTTCTGGACGACCGTACTTCTTGAGTGTGACAAACCGAGTGTAACTGTCTCCCCTGCTTTGCTACTAGAGATTGTCTCTTATACCAACTGGACAGTCGCTCGGAACAGTACGGAAGATGGCTGCAGCATGCTGCAACCAACTACCGCGTATGCCCTATGGCATAAACACGACGGTTAACAACCGTTTTGAACACTACTGGGGTTCGTTAACCGAACCGACCGATTAACGATCGTTAAAGGCACGTTAAACGGTCGGTTGGGTTAACGGTCACATGCGCCAGGCGGCAGACTGTCCGGACAACATTTTCCTCAACAACTAAACAGACAAACAAGCCCTCTCCTGCTACAAGCAAGGTGCATCTCCCTTGCTTGCCTACTGGCGTTAAGCGGCAGTATACTGCCGTACGTAGGGCACCTGCAGATAGAACTGTCTCAGCCAGCTGAGCGCATGCGATACGTAACGTTTTACGTACGTACTGTATACGCTGTATATGCGTACACATTAGTACGTAGCAAATTTGCATTAATGAAGAATATTGTTATTAAAGAATTAAGCCGATCACGCACATCTGCCATGCATCGCCTAATTAGGTGCCACCAGGCACTTACTTACATGCATGCAAGCCGGCTGGCTGGTGACCTACCTTTCCCTGCCAGGCTTGACGTCATTTACACCTTATCGTACCCCTCCCAACCTATTACAGGCCCGCTGCTGGTGGCCATCACATTTTATGCAAGCCTCACACTCGGTTTAACAGCTAAAAACTGGAACAAGAGCCGCATTATTGCGTTACTTGTTCTTCTATTAATTGTATTCCTGTACATTTTCCCTATGTGGTGGCTTACAGTATGCCGCTGGTATCTCAGGGAGGTGAGGCAGGTTGGGCAGCTACCCTAATAAGAAACTGATCCTGTTATTGTTTGCCTTGTGGCAGGAGGGGGGTGCGTGTGTTGGCCATTCCTGCTACTAAGGCGCCGTTTTGGGATTAGGGTCATGCATGGAATTACCATGTAAAGTGGCGCCACGTTAGCATGAAAGCAGCACGGCCTACTTCGGATCGGACCGTAATCATATGCGCCCTGTAGGGCGTCTTTCTTTGTGGCATATATATTCATTGGGTATCAGTCCATCGGCAATTATTTCACGAATACATCAAAGATGCCCCTCGTTCCATATGATAAAAAATTGTACTAGAGAAGCCAAGCCTGCAGAGGATTGCATACAGCTGTATGCAATCCTCTCTGTCCAAGCATACATGCTATGGTGTATGTATGGTGCTTAAAGTGTAATGTCTGACCGGAAGAAAGGCCTCCCGAGGTGCAGGAAACGCGCTCTAGAGCGCATATATGTGTTGATGGTGTGTACCGTACTGGACGACAGCTACCGCATGCCCCCTGAAGGGGTCCGCCTCGGACCCCACCGGCTCCTGGCCACACCAGCCTGTGCCTCCTTCCTTCTTCTCCCCGCATGTACTAATATTATTAATGAGGATGAAGAGATGATTTCCTAATGTATGATCCCCTGGCCTTCACAGCGATCTGACAGACCGACAGACGCTCCAGCTGCAAACATTACTGGACCGCACTGGAACCCGGTGCCGGCTGCTGCTGATGGTAAGCCTTCGCGAATAGGTGTTAAGAAGGGGCCACTGGAGCGATGCCATAAACACGGGCGGTGTAGTAGCTGGCCGCTGAAAAGGCCTCTTGAGATGCTGGTGGAGATGCTTTGTAGTTGTTCACGGCGCGGTACAGTGTACCGGCTACTACAGGCGGGGTAACTCCCTAAAACCCCAACAATTGCACTTATTAACGCATCACATTGGCACCGGACTGCCAAAGGAAAATTAGGTAGACAAGTGAATCAGAAGAATATCGTTGCTCTTCGGCTCTGGTTTAAATTCCGATCCAAGACTGCCTGTCTATATCTATCTGAAAGTTGCGATCCAATTGCAAGCAGCCAGCAGCAGCCCTAAACATGCTTGCTTAGGCGGAATGCGTGGGTTATTATTGTACCCGCCGCCACTGCCCATAACTCATGTATTTCAAATGTATTGGACATAGCCGACATTGAAAACGTCTGTGGCCTCGGCATTCCCCAGCAACTATAAGTTGCGTCCCGTGAGGTTACCTATGTTTTGTCAGGCGGCCACATATGCCACATGCCACATGCCACATGTGGCATGGTCTAGACCTGCGTGGTTCCGGGGGATACAGTTGGGTCCCAGTCACGGTGGTTAAGCCACGTACGTTCCCATTCACCCTCCCATGCTACCCGTCTTCTGAAAGGTCCTGCTGCTGATAAGCCGAGCCAAGACTCTCTGGGAATGGGAAAAGAGTTCAACGGCCCAAGGTACAACACATCTGATGATCAAGAGGTGCAGCAAAACGATGGCGATGGCTCTGCACGGAACAGCGGTCGCTTGTATAGCCCGTTGGAGCCTCATGCTGGGCATATGGGAGGCAAGGTGGAGGTTTCATCTCCACGTCGTCGGCCATTCAGCAGCATCATGCAGCCATTGGCAGGGGCATCAGCAGTGGCTAGCAGTACCTCGGCGCAGGAGGATGGCTTAGATGGTGGCAGAAGCTGTCACGAACCGAGCAAACGAAATGAGCTTTCAGAGGAGGTTGACGCGAATCAAAAGATCTTACCCAGACACAGACTGTCATCTATTAAACTTCCCCTCATTAATTTGCCAAAAAAGGATACTAGGGACAGCAGCCTTGGTGCCTCCCCAATAAGCCATCATCAAGAGGAACAAACCGAAGACGAGCAGAAGGTCCCGTACGTCAGCACGGCGACCTTTGTCCATGAACAACAACTTGCCGATAATAAGGTTAATATGCCACGAGCCTCAGGTGCGTGTATCGAAGAACGTCTCCAATCTCGAGCTACGCCTGCTGCTAAGAGAAATGAATGTATAAAGGTGTATGCAGCAAGCTTCATGCCAACTTGAACGGTTGGTACGGCGGAACCATCCCCGCCTGCCATCGCACAGATAGAGCTCTCGTTTCCTGTTACTATCAACTGCTGCATCAGCGGTGGTGGGGATGTTTGCGAGGATCTAGGTGCAGGGAGTTCATCAAGATGTTGCACAAGGAGCTAGCTCGAGTTCTGCTGATAATTGCCGGATTATCCTGCTGGTCCGCATGCAAAACCTGCATATACATTCTACCTTCCTAATTGTACGTGGCGTTAAACCCAGTTACAACAGTAGTTACAGCAGTGGCGACGATTTACCTCATCATCGACGCAAAGAGTTATTCTCTGTGAATCGGCACAGGTGGAAGCACCGAGGCGGTGAAGGTGGAGGCGGAAGGGCCTGCTGGACAAGAGACGCAGCAGGATACCACCGGGAGGTCCGACCATGCATTGATGACTTCGCCTGCCGTTGGCAAGTCCAAAAATGAGGGTATGGATGCTAGTGACAACATGTCTGGCAGTGCTGGATTTGGTCCTCCTGATCATCAGGTCAAGGAGGTTGGTATGATCTACGAAAGCTCCATCATAAAGCATAAACTGCCGCCCATCAGCTTGGCAACAAGTCACATAAGAGAGAGCACGCTTGCCTCCTTTAATGGCAGGAGCAAGCGTGAGGGATCCATGCAACCAGAGCATGGAGCAGCATATGACAGCTCGGCGGCTACTTGTGGGCGGCCACGATTTCCTAACATGCCTGACATAGCGCAAATGGCAGAAGCTCCGTTACGAGAACGCATTCAACCATCGGCCCTGCAGTACAAGGGAAAAGTCCATGCCGCAGTAACTCAGTCCTCTTCCAAGTCCTCTGGGTTATTGGGTGAGGCCCCATCCTTGCAGCCAAATGGCTCCACTGTTGCGGATATGGATGCGTACAAGGGTCCAGCAGCTGCATTGAGTCCGGGATTGGTCCCCAGTGAGTCTGTGCTGGATAAGCCTGATGTAGCCGACAACAAGTGCCCAAAACGAGGTGAGCACCACTCGGGGGAATTTTTTGCCTTGAAGGGGTCTCCTTCTCAATCTCCTCCAAACGATATCGTTTGGAAAACTGAATTAGAATGAGCTTCAAATATTTCCCATGGCCGTTATTATTCATACATAATAATTTATCAAAACGATTAAAATTTTATTCTGTGCTAAAATTGGATTGTGGATTATTTGATCATGCGTCAAAAATATGCCACTGACATGCATCATGGGTTATTGCGCCCACGACGACTGTTGCTTACAGATGTTAGGGTCGTTCCCATTCTTGTGTTGTAACCTTCAGTTGCGAAATGCAGTTTACTTCCTCGTGATGACAAGGACCGCTTGGATGCTGTCACAGAAGATCTTGACTCCGAAACCATCTCATCACACCAAGGCCGTGGACTCTGTCAGCAAAGCCAGCTATTGCATACAGGCAGAGCCACAGAGCCCAGAGCCGACAACTCTGCTGGTCACACGATCAAGTCTACGGAAAACTCATTCATTGAAGAGGATGCCACGCATGATGGTACCTTGCCTTCACCAACAGGCACAATGCCTTCACCAACAGGCACATCATCAACGACACTGAAGCAGCATCGTAAATCTCGGCCATTAAGTGCGCTGTACAACAAGGCACATGCCCCCACCGGGAAGGTACAAGATGCGCCGGTGGGTGGTTTTGCCTGGCCCAGGAACGGGAAATCGGAATCAGGGATGATGTCGATTTTGATGCATATGCAGCTGCTGCCATGCATGCAGATATACTGCAATAACCTGGGCATCGGTGAACGCATGATTGACGACCTAGGCAAGCCACAGCTGATAAACCAATAAACAGTTGTCTAGCTATAGCCACGGCTGCTCAAATACACAAAGTGACTGATTGAATGCATGGACGCCTGAATCAAGTCAACATAGCGGGAGATACTTGTAGTAGCTGGCCGCTGAAAAGGCCTGTCGCGATGCTGGTGAAGTGCCTCACGCGTATTTGTAGTTGATACGTGTGCCGTACTGTGCACCAGCTACTACAGCACTGCAGAACGATATTATTCCTGCTGCTATTGTACTGACTCCGCTGCTTCATCAGCATTATTTTGGATTTTAACGTTAACATCAAGGTTAACCTTGCGGAGCCTCATTCCTCAGTGCGCAATATGCTGCTGTATGTGCATGTGCATAGCCCTGACGGGACTGAATTATTTCCTGCTGCCTTCCTAAATCTTCCCTTCCTGCGGACCGCGATAGGACACCGGCAGCGACACTATCAGCAAGCCCCTCATCCAAGAGTTTCCTTACATGACGTCATTGGTGAAGTCAAGTGCCCGAAAAACGTCAAGCGGTGCTGCAGTGCTTGTTAGTCCACACAACTCTACTGCCAACGCACACATCTCACGGGATGGAAACTCTAGGAAACGGACCGCATCATCGTTTGTGCGCCCAATGCCTCCACCCAGCAGTTCTCCGTCCAGCAAGATTTCCTGGCAGGGTGCTTTCCCAGCAGGCATCCGAGAGCCTGCTGGGGTTCCTCCGCCAAGCTTCATCGTGACACCCACAGCAGAGGCTAGCTTCACAGCCGGACGTGATGAAGCGGCAAACAACACAATAGGACTGTATGGACAGCAGGAGAAGGTATTCTCGGGCAAAGAAGGCATGGGTGTCAACAGTGGTTTGATGGTAGCAGCAGTCCCTGTTGGAGAGGCTATTGAGTCATCTAATTTTGCTAACGACAATGGAGCACCACCCTCCGCTTCCAGCCCCTCTACCGCTGAACAGCCCCCGCCGGCTCAACGTTTGCAACTTTTGCCTCCTTTATCACCGCGCCAAATCACAGGACAGATTTTCCTTTCTCAACAAGTCACAGAAAGCAACGGCACTGGTAGCAGGCGAAAACCTACTAAACATGGCCATGGTTATTACATGTTGTATAACTTGCTTGCTGACGATCCACTGGGGACATCGTCCCATGACCAGCAGCAGCCCGAGAGACCATCACTGATGGACCAGCAGCCACAGATCGCCAAACCGGATCAGGCCAAGATACAGCCGCTAGGTCAGCAGCCGCCTCAGATACAAAATGTCCGACGCCTTAAACCACTTCGTCATATGTGTGGTCCCGGTCGACCGCATCCAACCATAAAACTAAGCCACTTACCCAATAGGACAAGGGATAGGATTGCTACTATGAACTCAACTGCGGAGGTGAAGGATGGAACGAGCACCGCAGACAAGCCTAGTGATAAGGACAACAATAGCGTTAAACAACTGTTTGAAATGGAGAAGCTAACCGCTGTTGGTACTGACTCTCAAGCTAACTCTGTGGATAGCTTGCAATTGGAAGGTCAGCCATCCAGAGAAATACGCAGGTTACGCGCACAAACTACGATCCTCGAGGGGAGGTCGGCAAAGCTGTCCACATTTCGGCTGAGGGGCGATGCTTTTGCGGCCTCCGCACCAACAGAAACTGATAAGCAGCTCCTGGCCCTGTATCCTGGTAAGTTCTATTATGTGAAAAGGGTGCAGAATGTCGCTCTTAAGCATAATGGCCGACCTCGGTGGCTGTAGCATGCGTGCTATGCCTAATATAAAAGCAAACAATTTATTTACCGAGTTATGAGCCCCGATTGTGAGTGCATGAGGGCCGCTCATTATGCATCTGTATAACCGCAAGTAAATAGTTGTCTTGTCGACGACAGGCTATTGATGTCCCCCATGCCACCATGCCACATGCAGGTGTGCGGCATTTATTTGCCGTGGTAACCTGACATACGCCACTGTTTGTAATGTGCATCTCCTCACTCCCCGGAAACTCCCGACCTGCGAAATCCTTCTGCAGGCAAGACAATTCCCATGTTTATGATGCACTACCGACAGCCAATCTCCTGGCCCTTTCGACTTGTAACCCCACCGATTCCCTTCATGGCACGCTTTGAGTTCCTGTTTGAAGATGGGATTGGAGTAAGTAGTGGTATGAAATGGGCCGGCATATTTGACATGTATGGAGGGGTATAAAATTGGCTATATCCAGCTGGCACTTCACTTGGACTGTGTGGGATGATAAAGGGTAGCGTCCAGAGATCGGCAAATCGGTTTCTACGGCTGCGGGAGGGCATAATTTCGGTCAGTAAACCTAAAAAATGTAAAGTTAAACACAGAGTTCAAGTTCAGCGCGCGGCCTTACGGGCCGCAATAGAGGCTACAAATCACGTCTTTTGGTCAAATTTTGGTCATTAGGGACCCGCAGCCTTACGGGGCCTTAAGCCGAATTTCGGCTGCGGGTACTGTGGTACGGACCCGCAGGACCCGCCTTATTTGCCGACCCCTGCCAGTGGTAGCGACAGTAAATGTAGTAGATAGAAACCGTCCCTATCTATTATACGAGGATGTCGCCTAAAGCTCATCAAAACATTTTACTGACGAGTAGGATACCGTCTCTCACAAATGCGGCCTAACGTCCTGCCAGCGTATGTCAGTCAGTGCTCATTCATGTATATCCCCCCTCATCATTTACAACCTTGCCATGCAGGATGGCCCTGCGCAAGCTGGCCGCGAGACGAAGTTGGGTCTTTCTTTCGGTATCCTGAACTTCATGCACAAAGCATTGTGCGCCTTTGCTTTCGGAGCCTTGGGCCAGCGGAGGCGAAGTGTACTTCAGTTAGTGTTCCTTTGCTTGCCCCAGCTTGCCATCCTGGTTTACCTGGCGACTTTGAAGCCGTTCTATGAATGGCAGAGACAGGTCATGGAGCTGGTATGCCATGCCCTGGAATTACTTTTGTTTGTGTGTGCATTTGGGCTGCTGAACTCCACACCTGACAACGGGGCAGCAACAATCTATTTCATGATTGGTAAGTAATATGCGACTGCATGCAGAACGTACGACACATACCAGACCCTTTACACCGGACCAAACTGCTACTTGTCTATTTCTTCGTGTGTGTGTCCACTAATAGTAATATTACTATTAATCCCTGTAATATGGGTTTCCGCTCACTGTTGTTGTTGCATCCACTGTGGAGCGACGACGGTGTATACGGGACACGGGTCAACAACAGCTTCGGCCTTGGGACTGCGTCCATTAGCCAGCTCTGGGGCCCCGAACACACATGATGTTTTCATCTTGGTGTTGGTTTTGAGTGCTTGTGTGCTCGTTTCCCAAAGCAAGCCATACCATCCAAACATCATTATACGGCATCCCTCACTTCCACTAAACCCACCTTGTGAACGCAGCATGCTTTCTACTCACTGCTCTTACGGTCATCACCTACCAGACATGGCAAATGATAAGCATCCTTAAGGAAGCATGGACCCTGCTTCAGAACTTGGTTGCGAATAAGGAGTGGGCCCAGCGGATTCAGTGTTTGAGGTGCCTGTTTTTGAAAAAGCAACAGATGGAAGACCAAGACAACCAACCAAGCACAAATAGCAGGGTGCACACCCGAGATCTCCAATAACTTATCATCTGTCGTATTGAATACGACATTGGAAAGGGCGCAACCCCTACACATTGATCACCAAGTTTGCTTGACAACTCTTCCTGGCGCACGAGTTTGGATCTGGGATGCATGACTATGTAGGATACGGCAATCTGAGCTAACCAGCAAGCAACACTTCAGGGGGTGGACGCAAGATGATGAAAGTCCTGCATCTGCATGTGACAACAAGTGTAATGCTACTTGACGGAAGTGCATGGCACTCAGTGCCATGCAGGCTGCCATGCTCTGGCAGAGCGCAATAGTACCGACGGAACGTATTGGCAGTGGAGCGAGCAGTGGACGGTGCCAACGGTATGATGATCTTACCGTTGCAGCTGTTGACATTTCAACTATATAATCGTAGGAGGAAAATATTGGCACGCCAGCGGCATACATCATGGTTCAACTACATACATCACCCACTCCTTGTTTATTGGAGGCAGCAGCGCACCTTCTGTTTTTTCTTGCTTGATAATCACAGGCGGGGTAGCTAGGAACATTTATAGCGCAGCAGCGTCTTCAATGCCTACCTCCTTGATGCTGGGTACTGAGCGCCAAGAAGAAACGGCGCTCCTGCCCTCGTGAAGCAATGCTAATAATACAGGGCCCATGTTTTACGATGTGTGAAACAGGGGGGTATATCTTCACCCGTGGCAGCTACCTTGCGAAACCCTGCCTTCCCCGGTATTTCGGGGCACCCTCATCCAGTCACCCTAGTCACTAAGTCAGTGGATCGCTCAGGTTCCGCACCCACCACCAGCATCCAGGTTTCGAGAGTACGGGATTTATAGCCAGGATTAGTTTTACATTAACTATTAGTCAACTATTTAAATGGTGCACTGGCTTGGCAGCCCGCAGTCAAGGCTGGCAAGGCGCTCCACTGTATTCCAGAGTCAGATTTATGTACATGCCACACACTGGCAGTTTTAGCAGGTAGGTCATAGTTTATGTACACATACATACAGTCATGCATGCATTCTGCCATATATGCTTGATATATACCAAGTGTAGTAGCTGGCCGCTGAAAAGGCCCCTCGAGATGCTGGAGGTCGCGCTTAGCGAGTATTTGTAGAGGCGTACTGTGTACCAGCTACTACATTCCCCCCTTTTTGAAGGGATCCGTCTCGGGCCCTTCCGGCCAAATATTCCAGCCTGTCGCTCCCTTCGCCTACCCTCGGGCAGGGGGTGCTCAAGCCACATCACGTCATGTGCCAGCCTCACATGTGCCTAGCCGTCTATAGTTTTTTCAGGCACAGAGACATTCCAGTCGGTTCAGCTGCATTTCTCGCGGTAATCGTGCATTGAGTCACCAAATCCAATATTCCACCAAGTACGATTGATGGGAGTTTAACCGATGACTTCAGAATCGTGAACTTTCACGAAGTCTCGATACCAAATGTAGTAGCTGGCCGCTGAAAAGGCCTCTCGAGATGCTGGTGGTCGCCTTAGCGCGTGTTTGTAGAGCCGTACTGTGTACCAGCTACTACATCAAGCAATCTCAACATACAAGGGGTCCATGACTCTGCGTACGTGAATTGTAGCCCGGCCCTGTTGCTCCAATGTTAAAGAGGGATTCGCGCACATACAGCATGCATGCATCCTTTCCGCAGGAATGGGCAGTAGTTTTAAGAAAGATGTGCCGCTGGTTCTGCTTTATTTGCTGCTGGTTTCGAGGTTTTGATCCTGGTTTTGCTTTCTTACCTTACTGCTAATATTCTAAAAGCATTATTTGGTGGTGTTAGGGTTTTAGGGTTTGAAGGTTTTATATAGTTATATTGGGCACGGTAGAGCAAACGGGCGACTGGCAGGGGGTTTCATAACATCGCATAGGATGATAAGCAGCTCTTTGTGACTTGTCATGCTGCTGCGGGATGGCATTTTTGTTGCTTGATATTTGTCATGAAGATTTTGTGAACCTGGTTGTCTTACATGTAGCCAGCACTTTTACATATCTCGGCGGCACTAGTAGAGAACCATGCAGAGGCTGGCAGGAGCTCATGCCCACCCTCGAGCTCGAGGACGAGTAAAGCAGTAAGATGCCTAGGTGCTTTGCAGGATGGATGCAGACGGTGCCCAGTGAAGGACGGGCTTTATTCGTAACCTGCTAATTGTTTGTTCCATCCGCTATAACGACGGGTGATCACGTTAATTCGCGTTAGTTCGTGTAACAGTGCGAATCTTAGCATGAGGTGCAAATGAGCATGCTTTTGTAACGCAAATGGCTAACGCACAACTGAAAAGCGGAAATCGGCCCTCCTGGGTAAATTTTTTAAAATATTCTCATAATTTTCAGATTTTAAAAGATTCATTTAAATTTGCGTCGTTTTGGCCAACTTGGACAATTCGTCCGTACGTATGTTGAAACGCAAAATAACGTGAAACATGCATGCATGTGTGGCAAGGTGATGCACATGCGATTATGTATTGCGATTCATGCGTTTGGGGAGACAATGCATAATTATAAAGCAATACGCGTTCAAACGCACATCAAACGCACACAGTCCGCAAGGCTATTTGCATGCAAATACATGTTGCGTTTCATGCGTATGAAGGCTCATTGTGTAAAGCTTAACGTGGCCTAGCACACACCAAATGCACACATTTCGCAACGCAATTTGCATGCAAACAAATGTTGCGTTTCATGAGTATGAAGCTTAATGCGGCCTAAGCTAACACACACCAAACACACGATTTACCTTTGATTAATGCATGGAATAACACTCCAATGCGACGTTGTATATGTTGGTCGCATGCTCAGTTTGTTAACAAGCTAATGTAAAGCTTTGTATTTCACGATTGGGTGTACATCGTAGACAGCTGCAGCAGCTGGCGCGTCGCACCGTTCGCAGTCCCGCACACAAATCGCAGTCACTCGCGTTAAATTTTAAATGGTGGCGCTTAGTTTGCGAAATACTGCGAATGCATTCGCAGAGGTAGCAGACGCACATGCATTCGCAAGATTCGCAGTCGCGTATTCAAATCGCAATTCCTTGCGTTTGGCGATACGTTCGCGTTAAAAGTCGCCTGGTCGCGTTTTGGGTCGCGTAAATCTCGCGTTATCATTCACCGCATTCGCACATGCATACGCATTCGCAGTCGCGTATGTCGTATGTAACGCTCGCGTTTCAAGTCACCTTGTCGCGGTAACGATCGCGTTAAGTTTGCGTTAGTTGCTTAAGCTAACGCACTGCCAGCCAAAATTACTCAGCTCGTTTGCATGCGAATGAAGATGAAGTGCGTTAGGCCATACGCACAAGCGAGCCGGTGCGTTACCAGTGCTTAAAATCGCGTTTCATCGCGTTAGCGTCGCGTTAAACTCGCGTTAAACTCGCGTTAAGCCTCGTAACGCGAATTTAACGCGACATAACGCGATCACCCGTTGTCATAGTGATCCGTTAACTTGCCTTACCATTCTGTAATCAGCAGGTCACTTCGCCCTCCATTTCGCGATGCTGGCTCATATGCATAGTGACAAACCAGGGCTTAGTTAGGGATGCTAGTCATTTCACCCCAAGGCGACGAGCATTGGATCCTAAAGCTGTTTGTGAACTCGGTCTATGTCTTGAAATTTACCTCTGTACAGCATATGTAGAATCAAATCTAAAGATGTGAACACGGGCAGTCTTGTTAGGAAATTTTCACCTGGACGGTGATGGACATTCGAGCAGACCAGGAATAGTGGAGCTGTCGCCACCGTTAATTCGGCAGTTTCCATTGGAGGCCGGTGCCGTGCTGAACCCGAAAAAGTCACTGACTTCGCAGAAGTCGGCATGGATATGGTGAGATGGATGAGGGTGCTCCGAGGCTTTGGGGCGGGAAGGACGGGACCGCCAGTTTAGTGGCTACGAGTGAATCTATAACCCGGGGCCCCCTGCTTCACACATGTGCCAGTGAGAGAGGGTTTCTATTCTTACTTTGCATTGAGGCTGTGCATCTGAAAGGATTACATATGTATGCATGCAACAAGTAGCAGTGTTCAGTATAATGCATGGCTGCTACAAACAAAGCAGAACCAATCGTATGCATTAGTAAACTAATGCATGGCAACAGCTGGCAAGCAAACTAATCCAAAGGATTAACGTTAACTATCGGTACAACATGCTGCGCATCGATGGATATCCACCTCTCCCACCTTTATGTAGCCTGCAATTGTCTAGCGAGCGAGTGATGAGCATCGTAATAAGCCACGCAAGTGCCATCCAGTAGCAAACCTTGCGTAACTTGAGACACGCACTTGAAATTGACAGCGGCACAGTACTCCTAAGTGATGGACATATGTAGACACATACCTAGCACACCCTCAAAAGGACAAGGAATGCTCAACGGGCAGGGAAATGCCCATAATGACAGCTGGGATCCCATAATATATTAGGGGATATTTATGCAATCACATACAACCGCTCGCAATCTGGCGGAGATGTCTATATCTCCCCAAGTAGCCAAAAAAAGACGAGACTGGCTGCCGAGCTTGCACAGGTCATAATAAGTTCTCCAGCAGAGGAATGCCGCATGAAATGTCGCTCCGCCATTCACGCCTCAACCAACTTGGACTACATATAGACCACCAGGATGATAGCAAAGCTGTAAATTATTAAGGGGCCTCAAACATCCCACAACTAGCTGCACCTTACTCCGAAATAAAGTACGTCCTTGATTCGTGATTAATTCCTGTAAGCGATCGCGAGTCCTGGCACCCCTCCCGGCGCCCCAGCTGCCCTGCTGCGGCCTGCAGGCAGCGGACGTTGCCCAGGTTCCACGCGCAGTAGTACTAGTGTTGCGTACTAGTAACCAACACCGCCACAAATTAAAAGTACTGTCCATTTTTGTCCAGTAGTCCAGTAAAATAAGTTCAACAGCAGTTCCATAGCAGCTCATTAATAAAGAGGTAAATGAATTCAAATTCAAGTTGCCCGTTCCAAGTTTGGAACAACTCACTAGTAGGCTGGCCAATAATAGAAAATTTTGAAATGCACAGGTCAACCGCCGTCTGCATGTGATGGATGCATCATGATGCATCATTGCATTGCTGCTTGAAATTACAGAACAGCCTAGCTATTATTGAGCCGCCTGCCCTCGTGAACGCATCCTGCTGCACATCTCCACTTGCGGCAACAAAGCCTGCGCCCTGTTAAGGCAGGGACCGCGCCAACGTCCCAGCAACACGGTAAGCCAGTGCGACAGCAGACGCATAGTGCTGCGTCTGAGCGTTATCCTCATCGATGATATCGACTCCCAGGCGGGTGAGGTAATGTACACAAGCTCTTGGTGCGTCGTATGCAGTTTGCCCCTGAGGTGATCGTTCGCGGTGATAGTTGGTTGCTGAAACCAGATAAGCGGTACGTACTGGGCAAAACACACACCATGTATAAATGCATACATACGTATGTACGCTGCAGCTGATGTCATCAATGCAAGCTCGTCAATGCTTATTCGTCCCAAGGCGGCAAGGATACCATTTACCAGGGCCACACAACACGCTATACACAACACCAAAGACAGCATACGGCACATCATATACACATCATGCATCACACATAACCCGCGCACCATGGCCATGAACCGTACATGAACCATATGCGTACATGTACCTTCCACACACTGTCCAACATCATGTTTAAATGACACTTGGCAACAGTCCATGCGCATGGTTAATAGTTATCGAGCCTACCTACTATGCAGCATAACAGTAATGGCAGATGGATAAGAAGCATGTACAGGCTACTAAGGAGCGCAGCTGCAGTGACATAGCACATTTGCCAACTGACAAATATGCGACTGACAAATGGCTCGACTATCCAGCACCACCACGACGAGCACATTCGAATATCAATCAGGTAAAAGCATAGCAACTGCTTACGTGGTTTTTGAGCTTATGCTAGAAAGCACGCACCCATAGACTTCCATATGCATGTGCTAATATTAGGACAGGATTAATCCTGGCTACCAAGGCTATGCCTGCGCTAATCCACCGCTGGTTTCACCTTACCTATCTTTGCATTCACGGCAGCAGCACGCATAGGGTATATGTGGACCTGCCTTGTGGACTGTGATACCTTCCCCGAGCGCTAGACCTGCCTCCATGCCCACCGACAGTCCGTTTCTTGCTGGTGGTTAAGGGCGTCCCTGGCTTCGCCACCACCATCTCCTTCCCCTTCAAGCTTTTGCATGTGGGGAATAGCGCGCAGGTCGGGATGATCCTGAGGGCCCCCAAGCACCAGATCACCATTTCTTGTTTGCAGCGCTAGCTCTTGATGTGCTATGTCACCGCCACCCTGTTCGATAACTGCATGCTGCTTAGTGGTGGTGGTTGAGCCACACACTGGCAGGCGCTCACAGTCCCCACCCCCCTGTCTGGAGCTGTCGAATACAGCAGGTATGCTGCTGTTGCTGCATCCATGAGGCTCACACTGTAGGCCAACAACGGCATCAGTGGAGGTGTCGCCGGTGCTGACACCAAAGCCACGCAGCTCTCCTTGCCCTGCCATGCCAGCAGTGCTGGTGTCAAAAGGTGCGCTGCTGCAGCCTGGAAAACTGGATGGAGCTGTCCCCTTCTGTCTGTCAGCAGCACCGGAGTCAGCCACTTGACCACTAGTCCGCCTTTGCGGTTGATTTGCGGCAACTGGTGAGCCATTCAGCTCTGGTTTGCTACACAACTGCTCCATCTGCTTCTTGCTAGGGAGCACCAGATGCAAAATGTGTTTCCAGTGGACCCACCGACCTTCCGTAAAATGCAGTTTGTGCAGCATGTTCCCAACTCGTTTGATGATGCGTATCACCTGCCACACCTCGTAGCTGATGGCCACGAGTGTAGTGAGGAGGAGGCAGGCTGCGTGGGGGAGCCGGGATGAATGCGATGAGCGTGAGTCATTTCTTGGTTCGGTCAGGATAACCGGCATGTAGGCCTGCCCCAACTGAAGGTAAGGCAGGCACATCCCCCTATTATTGTTGGTCTGCTTGTGTAGTTGCTGGCCGCTAAAAAGGCCTCTCAAGATGCTCGTCAAGCGCTTCGCGCGTATTCACAGTTGTTATGTGTGCCGTACAGTGTACCAGCTACTACAGCTTGCCTATTCGTGCGAACAAAGCCAGACCACTAGTAGCAACATGTGTCTGTCCTATTTTCTCATGTACATGTATAATACTTTTAGACTGGTGACCACGATGGAAATGGATATGTACATGGTTGCGCAAACAACGAACTAAGAACTTCATCAAAGCAAAAAGTTTTGATCGCTTATTTAGGACACGCCTTCGTATAATAGATAGGGACGGTCATACTATGCGAGGGTGTCGCCTATTGGCGATCAAAAAATCTACAGACGTGAAAACAGCAACTTAATGTGGACACCGACGCATACCAGACAGATTTCGAGCAAACAGCAAATTTAACCAGGCGGTCTTTGCTTACCTATCATTAGGTAGGTTGTTGGTGCCTCATTGTCCGGTGCGGCGTTCAGGAGCGCGAACGCACATATGAACAACACCAACTCCAAGCCGTGGCACACCAGCTCCATGACCAGCCTCTGCCTATGCAGGAAAGGCCTCCAAGCCACCATGTATAACAGGATGGCCAGCTGGGTCGAGCATAGGATTGCCAATTGCGGCACGCTTTGCCAGTGCTGGCCCCAAGTCCCCAAAATTATGGCGCACAGTACTTTGTGTGTGAAGTTTAAGGGACCAAAAGAGAGAATCCACTTGGTTTCGCGGCCAGTCTGCTGAGTACCATCCTGCAGAGCGGGGATTTGGGGGGGGCCTCCGAATTGTAGTAGCTGGTACACAGTACGGCACACATATATCGTCTACAATTACGAGTGAAGCGCTCGACCAGCATTTCGAGAGGCCGCTTCCGCGGCCAGCTACTACACCAATGGAGAGGTGAGTGAAACAAGGCAGGCAGCACATTCTCTCATCCTCGGCTACACACATTGCTTGCGCTAATATATCACTGACAGCCAAGTCCGCATGCATTTCCTTCGACCTAAAGGCATATCATGTGGGCAAGCATTGATGTCTATCTCAAGGGCCAAACATAACCTTGCATCGAACAAATGCAGTGATGTGTCTTTCTAGCATTTATGTGTCTTTTTTATAGCATTGTCCAGCGCCAGGCCCCGCCTAAAATACTTACGCCAATCCCATCTTCATACAGGAACTCGAAGCGTGCCAGGAAGTGCACAGGGGGAGTTACATGAAGCCGACATAGCCAGCAACATGGCCGGTAGTAAATCATGTACATTGGCACGGTCTTGCCTGGTAGGGATTGAAACCATGCACAAAGCGACCAGGTGTATGCAAACGTCTTAAACGCTCAATTCATAAACAACGCGAACATTTTCTCATGTCGTCCATCAGGTTCGATCCATCCTAAAATTAGTGGAGTCACCTACACGCTTGCAGCAACCGAAAGAACTACATCGCACCGATAGGTGTCGCTAGCTGCGGATGGAAATTATTTGGATATACGGCACTGAAGGAAGTAGCGAAGATAGTGGAGGTTGAGCAAAGGCCTGCCGCCAACCCAGGCTTCCTCAACTGCCCTTTAAGCATCGGTCAGCATCTTTGCAGCCCATTCAAATCCGCAAGCTGACGATTTCGTACAAATGCTGACATCTCTAGCAGCGAAGCATGCGCAGAAAAGATGGTAGGTTCGTTTGGTATGTGATCACGTATGTAAATTGACTGAAATTCCTGGCTTTTTTTGTTGTTCCCACGTCAGGTAGGGCATGCGTGCTTACCCGGATATAGGGGCAGCAACCGCTTATCGATTTCTGGTGGTGCCGATGCTGCATAGGCATCCTCTCTCAGCCGAAATTTGGACGGCTTTGGAGTTTTCTTAACCAGTTTTGTAGTCGCCCTTGCATTCAGACCTCCTGTAGGCTCACTCAAAGGTTTTCCTGGCACCGTAGCCGAAGAACCTTCTGTCGTCTCCGTCTCACCCAGCCCATGAATATCCGTCCCAGTTTCCACCTCCCCAGCTCTGGGGTCCTCGACGCTGCTTGGACGTGGGGTAAAGATGCTTAGGGATTGAAGGCCCCACAAGAACCTCTTTCGGGGCAAATTTGGTGAAGGTGTTGGGGGCTGGTCATGATCAAGGTTCGATGTCCCACAGGGAGGCGTGGGTGTAGCTTGGTCGTTACTGTCACTCTGCTCGCCATCAACAGTTGCAACTGAGTAACCGCTCGCCCTGCTTGGAATTGTCTTCAACTTCACTGTTCGTCGAGGGCTGTAAATACTGGTGGCTGGAACACGTCGCAAAAGACTTTCTTGCTGCTTGAACTCTGGCGATCTCCTGGCGGCAGGGTCCGCGAGCAAATTGTACATTACAAAGAACTCACGCTGCTGGGTCGTGCGTCGCTTGCCACTTGAACCGAAGCCTTTGCTTGGACGCTGTGTAACAGAAGATTTGTCAACAGTCGACTGACGTGGTGACAGTATCTGGAGCGGGAGCTGCATCATAATGGAGCCACGAGTACGGGATGAGACTGATGATCTCCTACGATGCTCATCCTGAGATGCCTCAATTGCCTCCGCAATCGGTCCTGCTATCGCTGCTCCCATCAAACCACTGGCAGCCAGGTCAATACCATCCTTGGTGTCGTGCTGATGGTCCGTGGATGATGACAATGTAGCATCCAACATGGGTGTCCTGTTGGAGCTACACTTAGGCGGCCTGATGGTCTGGAAAGCCGATGTTGAGCTGCTAGACAGTGCATTACTGCTGGGAGATGGTGCTGGGAACACACAAGGTGACCCAGCTCGTCCTGCAGGCATATCATCCATACCTGCCTGCGAGCTGGCTGCATGCCTTGGTGAAGTAGGCGGTGTGCTGGTGTCCCCTGTGCGACCAGAACTTCGGCCAGTAACAAGCTTCATAAGTGCAGTGATGAAAGGGAGCACCTTGGTGGGGTGCTTGGTATTACCCTTGCTCTTGTTGTCCTACGGACATGGTGAGATCACGAGGAGCAAAGGTGAGCATGCACATGTACATAACTCAAATCGTATTCAAAGGTTGCAAGGGTTGACTGCATAACGAGGAGTTATGCAGCATGTTACGGATTGTTTAAACTTCGCTTGTTGGTATATGCATATACACGAGGCAACATAAGCGAATGAAATGTGCACATTAACACATTAACACGTGTTACTCGACAACTTTCCAACGACGCCGAACACCGATATGCATGTGCTGTCTGCTGCTGGCATGGACTGACATGAATGCCAAGAGAATGGGCAAGTTTAGCCAAAAAAACTTGGCCATTCTCTTGGCAATAGTGTCCCCCCCTTGTGAAGGTCGCAATGATGGGTGCAGTATGCCTTGCTTGACCGAAGATCCTCCTGACTGCAGTATTAATCGGTTGTGCAACTATATGCCAGTTTCGATAACTTTAACCGGACACTGAGATGGTTGAAGGCGGTGGAATGCACCATATGCGCTGACATTCGACCTGTACACAACGGTTTGCCAAATAACGCTAACTCCATTGCCTTCCAGAAGCTCTTAGCTTCTATGGCTTACCGGTTCAGCTCCTGCCTCCGGTGTAGGCGCATGCGCCCTGCTGAGCCTTGATCGACGCTGCAGCTGGCTAGGCAACTCTGAGGGCTCCATAGCCTGCTGATGTACAGAAAGCCTTGGTGAAATTAAGCCCTGGGCAATAGGAACAGACCGTTCGCGCTCCTCTGGCTGGGTTGACTGCACTATGACGGTAATGCCTGATGGTGACAGCGGGTTTCCATCTTGTGCAGAATTGTTTGATGACATGAAGCTCGGCTGGACATTTTCGCCCATGTTATATATAGGGCTGGAGACCGCCTGCGGCTGCTGCTTCATTCTGGATGGGTGTGGCAACAATCTGCCTGACGGACTCCCCTGCCTTGATGTATGCAGTTGGCCTCGCTGGCGAGGATCATCAAGAGACGTTTGGTGGGCGGAAGTGGCTCCAGATATAGCATCTCCTCTAACCGCACCCGAGTGGTTGATGCCCCAGGGAAGGACATTTTGGATCTCCTCCGCTGCAAGCATTTAAGTAGGCGGAAACCAGTCAGACGGCCAGGCCTGAGGCGTCAACCATTTAGTTGCTTTGCTACAAATGCATAAATGTGGCTATGAGTGAATAGAGGATGACGGGGGGATGTGGCTGTAGAGGATATGTTTCTCCTTACATGAAGCAGTCATACAGCTGAAATGTCAAGAAGTAATCTCGGCGAGTTCAATGCAAACAGTGCAGCGTCTGACGAGGTACATAACATGGCAGTATTTGTGTGCTTCGGAGGATGATGTATATGCTGGTCCACGCACACATCCCGTGCAACATGAGTGATGAGTGCCACCTGTTACCCACCTCGACTTGAAGACGCGGCTTCACCGAGGTTAGATGTGTCCAACGTTAATTCCACCAAATCAGGTTCTGCCTTAATACGCTTAGGGTCGTCCAACACTGGCTCCATCGAAGCAGAATTTGTATGCACTGTTTGCATTATTGATGTCCCAGCGAACACACTGGCAATGGCTGAGCTCTGTTGCTGCAAGTATGGTGCAGCATTGGACACACCTGCTGGAGATATCGACGATGTATGAATTGGTGATTGCGCCAACCCTTCATCAGACGGGCTGCCTGCTTGCGCGAGCGGCCCTTTCACGGGAGCGTTGTAGCCCAACAGCGCGCTATGCATGTCTGCAAGTCGTGGCCAGCTACCGATGCCTGCTGACCTGGCAGGTGTGGTCCCACTGATAATGTCAGCAGGACTCTGCATATGTTCGAATGGAGTCTCACCACAAACCTCCGTTGCTGTAGCTATGTCCTGATTTGGTGAACCTGCCGTACTCTTCTCATGTAGACACTTTGGATTAGCAGTAGAGCCTTTGGCAGCTGTGCTGGGGGTATCTTGCAGGTCGGTCATGTCAGCAAGCTGTGGCCAGCGGCTGACGCCATCTGGCTTAGCACATATGCCTCCCTGTGCTGACTTTGTGGGCCCCAATTTCAGGATTCCCATGAAATCGCCGCAGGTACCATTAGCCCTATGCTTGCTTGGCAGTTTCCTGTCTATTGATTTCTGGTCCTTGGATTGCGCTTGCACCATGTCACCCTCGTTGGCCGTGCTCACCCTAATGGATGCTTGTGGAGTTGCATGAGTGGATTTGTATAACTTGTCAACCAACTCTGATAGCTTCAGAAAGGTAGCAGAAGTCCCTTCAGTTCCAGGGTGTTCGATTGACTGCCGGTTTGTTGTGCCGCATACGCCGCCTTTACTGCCATCTGGACTCACAGGACGGCTTGCAAGCAGTTGCCGACTAGGTGACCGCGCTATAATGCTGCTAACTGGCCGCCGGCACCCAAACGGAGGTTTTTCCTCACTGGCTGATGATGGGGCTTCCGTCCTGCATCCCAGGTGGTCAGGGGGTTGTGTGGAATCTTGCCAGTAGTCAGCGTTATATCGAGGTAAGCTTTTATAGTACTCCTCTGAACCCGGGCGCACTTCTTGCCTATCTAAGACCACATCCTGCTGGGCATGAGGAAGGAGGGAAGCTTGTTTACTGGAAACCCCACAAGCGCCACCGGAGGCATTTGGCCCGCCAACGTTTGAAGTCCGGGAGCCTTCAGATGACGCAACCATTTGCTGGAATTTGATCATCATGCTGCTCATTTGAACTCCTGCAGCCTCCGCTTCGGCCACCTGAGTAGTGCTCCCAACGGAACCCAGCGCATTGCCACCCTGTTGCTGAGCACGCTGTTGAAAAGAGAGCAGGTGCCTGCTGCGTCCAATAACCAAGCTCATGCTGTTGCGCGCCATACTGCGTTTGTTGCGACTCCTGACCGACTTAAAGAGGATCTTACTGGGTCTAGGAGATTCTTTGGCAGGTACTGTGCAGTCATCGCTTGTTGCAAAAGGGCCACCTTGCAGGCAAGCAAAGCAAGCAGCATGTCCGGGCGCGGGGAATAAACACGGATATTATTGCTATTTAATGAGCAGGTCAGCAGTTGAAAATCAGGCACCTGCAGATATGTAACTGCCAATTGATCACTACGGTGAACATGTTTGCGTTCTCAATCTAAACTGTTGGTCTTTAATGAGTGGGTTGGCCAGCGTGTGTGGGTCATCCTATGCTGCTGCACCCTGCTGCATGCATGTCTGCACAAAACAGCATATCAGCCTACCTCCAAATCGAATGTTATGTTGTGAGAGCATAAACGACGATCAAAACAGAGAGTCATATAAGGAGTAAATTCGAGGTCCAAGGAAAACGCGAAGACGCCGCGCACAGCAGGCTCACCAGCATCAGCACCAGGCACCACATCCCAGTGTGGTCCAAGTGGTGAAGCAGCCTCTGTGATTGTGCCGGGTTTCTGTGTGCGGCGGACAACGGCCGGGGAGCAGATATCTTTTCATTTCATGGAAAGAAGCATGGACGATGGTAAGGCCTGGTGGGGAGAGCGAAGAATGAGGCGGCGTCTGTAAGCCTGATGCGTGGGAGCCATGCACCTAAAACCCAAGGGTAACTAGGTCAGAACTCAGAAACCCGAAATGAATTTATAACATGTAGATCTTTTGGGTTGGGGCCCCAGGCTGAATCGCGTCAAGGAGCCCCCGCCCTGTGGGTGTGGCCATGTGACCATGTCATGGAAGGCGTGATGAAGGTAAGGCAGGAGCAAAGGCGAATGCCTATGATTGTACAGCATGACATACGAATAGTCATCTGGCCATAGCTGGGAATCAGATGCCGATCGCTACATATGTGTGAAGCACCTGCCCCAACGTGAGAAGCTTTTTGCATTACGATTCATATTATTATGTACGGCAGACAGTGCATCTCTATGTCCCTTTTCAGCGAATAGTACGACTTGCAGCATATATACCACAAAATATTTACCACAAAATATTTACCACAAAATATATACCACAAAATATATACCACAAAATGCAGCACATATACTACAATACCACCGTACTATCATTTCTTACCTAAAGGGATGACTCAAATATAAAACGATCGGCCGCGGTATTTCTCTCCCAGTTCCAACTCATTTGGGCGGGCTTTCGACACGGCCAAACAGACCATAACAGCCCTGTCGAAAGCCCCAATGTGTCGCTAGGGATACGCTTACAGTCGCAATGCTGGCCTTACTATTTACTAACCGCATTCCACTTATCTGACAATGTTGCACTCACCTCCTCGAGGTACCAGCGAGAAGCTGTAAGCCACCATAACGTTATGACATAAGGCAATAATACTATTAAAATTGCAAGCAACGCCGCAATCCGGTTGCTGGTCCATCTGGCAGCGGTGCCACTGCTGAGGGTGTGGCTCGCGTAAAATGCAATAGCTACCAGCAGCGGGCCTGCGGTAGGCGGCGGCAACAGGTGGAAATAGGGGGTTGCCAGGATGTGGGGACAGGGCTGACGTGCTTGGGCTCATGTGGGTCAAGCCCGTTCCGGACGTCGAATTAGTACAATTGTGATGTTGGGCGATGTAAGATTAAAATACTATCATCTTCCCTCCCTTCTAACCCCTCAAGTCATTACATTCCGGCCTCCTACTTTCTTTCACTCCATTGATTACCATCCCGTTCTCAAGGTCGTCGTAAGACTCGACCAGGTAATAAATATTGTAACAAACGGCTGGAACTGGATCAAACCAAGGAGTTTTACATTATTATATAGACCGAAGCTAGTTTTGACACCAGCAGCCATGTAAGCCTACATACCTGCAAGGGCTATTTCCGCTCTAGGAAAGTAGAGTGCAGAGGGTAGATCTGGCCCAACGTAGGTCCGAAAAAGCAAAACCACCCAAATGTGAGCTATGAGCAGGCTGCCCATGAGGACTGCCACTACGGTGAACATGAACAACAGACCCTGCGTTTCTGTCTCAAACGATGGCTTGTTGGTATTATTGTTCCAGCTGCTGGATGCATCGGGGGGCGTTGAGGGGGCGGCAGTTGAGTTCGCGACAACGGAGCTGCTATTATTATTGGCAAAAGGATGCCCCTTGCGGTCCAAAAACGTCAAGGACTTGCCGCTACCAGCAAAAGCTGTACCACCAATTGCGTATATGCTTGTTGGATTGGTGTTGTTTCCATCGCCAAATTGGGACTTGTTCCGGAGCCACGAAAGCAACACATCCACACCATTTACTTCATCCACAATGGCTTGGTCGGGTGATTTATTGATGGTCGTTGAGGTTGATGATGATGTTGTTTGCTTGAGGAGTAACGACGGCATCGGGGCCGTTTCAAAAGCCACTGCTGAGGGGGTCCTTCGGGCCACTGCTGAAATGAGGGTGCGGAAACGGTGGTGCTGGCGGGCGGGCTCTGCTTCAACGTACCCAAGCTGTGCTTGCCGCGGCGACGGCTGCGTCGGTGGTGGTGAAGTTGGTGGAGGTAGAAGCGGGTGTTGTTGTATGAGTTGGGAGTTCGGATCTGCTGGTTGTGTGGGTGATGGTAATGATGATGATGATGATGGAAGCGATGATGAGGGTGATGACAGGGATGGCGCTCGGGCTGCTCGGGGTGGTGGTAGCTGTGGAGGTGGGGCTCTGGGGAATGGTATTATTGGAAGCGCATTCATTTGACCTTTGCTGGCGCTTTCGGGCCACAGATGAACGCCTAGATCCGCTTTAACCTTTTCTTCCATGTAAACTTCGCTTGGATTACTGAAGGCGTTGTCTAGGACCGGAATGTTACCCTCAATACTGATGATGGACCACCGCAGATTGCTCGCTACTTTACGGTAGCGTGGACTAACGCCAGGGGATGCCAGGAGGGCCGTTATCGCCAGGATCTTGAGAGCCAACGGAAAGTTCAGTCCAGGCAGGAACGAACGTAGGTGGAGGTGTAATTATTTAAGTCATGTTTTTGGGGTGGCGGAGGGGTAATGTACACCTTCCATTGAGGCCCCGGGAAAACTTAAATGACATAAAACGTGAAACACGGCAGTTGTTACATGTCAAGCTCGTGCAGGTAAGCTTCAATGCCGTACAAACGGGTTACAGATCAATGCCGTACAAACGAGTTACAGGTCAATGCGGTACATAAGGATTACAGATCAAGGCTGTGCAATCACAAGTCGTCAAACAAATGAGCATCTCGAGGGAGTTTTCGACCACCACGTTACCCGGCACGTTACATAGGACGACTGCCTAATAAAGGTAACAGACAAGTGCTGCGGGTCGCTCGTGCCTAGAGAAGCTGAATGCAGGCCAGGTTCAACGCCACGCACAAAGCTACCTCGGAAAGCACCAGGGATAAGCAGCAGAATGATTTGATTCATAAGGACAGCCGCGTATGCTACCCTGCCGTTGTATGTATTGCATCTTCACGGAATGAACATCCCCATGTACATCTGTACGTGCCGGGTTCCAGATCAGGCAACTCCCAGGCGGGTAGGTGAAAGATGGCTGACAAATCCCACAAGCAAGCAACTTGCACACCTGAAAATGGTACACTGTCTGCAGCATAGACACGTGTGATGACCATAGGGAGATGAAGGATGCCGCGATGGTGATGACCATAACAGCTTTAAGAATGACTCCGATGAAGCGCCCCCCTGTACCATTGATTGTAGCTGGATTCGAACCGAGCACTGCTTCCGTAAGTTCAGTTTCCAGGAGGAGCGACCTTCCAGGAGGTGTGTTACCGAGGAGTACCGAGGAGTCAGCTTATTCAGAGAGATTCTGGAAGCGCGGTACGCATGCATATAAATCCAGTATTTGCTTTTATCCAAGCTCATTATCGTTACAGATGTAACTACTGTAGCCTTCTAACGATGTAATTCCCTTGAACTTGTGCATCTCTAAGCCAGCAAACCACCGACTATCTAGCAACATGCACGTCAGCCTTTCGTGGCCTGACCCGCGGCTTCTGACCGTGCTTGTAGTAGCTGGCCGCTGATGAAAAAGCCTGTCGAGATGCTGATCAAGCGCTTCGCGCGTAATTGTAGTTGATATGCGTGCCGTACTGTGTACCAGCTACTACAGTGCGTGACAGCCACGCACGTGTCAGAGATAACCAGGCGGCCCTCCATGCTACACGCATATGATAGTCCACAACTCGATGTCTAAGACATGCATCGTGCATCACACAGTACTCGTGCATCACACAGTACTCGTGCATCACACAGTACTCGTGCATCACACAGTACTTTGCCTGTAAGGCAACTCGCAGGCCAGCTGAACGTGGCACGTGCTGCTGCCGCGAAAATTGTAACACCAATATTATAATATTGCACATGAGATGTGTTTATAACCTTGACAACAGACGATGTGGATTGATCAGATTTCTATGCCCCCTAAATTTATTTGCAGATGCCGTGATGCCGTGTATGCCGTCCCCTCACCTGGACACTGGATTGCCCGCCAGATCCGTCACCATAGAACCATTCAATACGGTAATCGATGGTTTGTCGCCCTCAGAAGCAAACAACACCGCTAAGCATGATTGCACATAAGAAAGACCTGATGCTGCTGCGAATAGTGCAGCTTGGCCAAGCTGGGCTGATGCTGGCCGCTGGATCGGGGGAGGTTGCCAGCTGCCATCCATCGCCGTTGGCGCGCTCCCAACCGCTGCCATTTCCATTGGTGTCGCCTTAGCCACTTCAGCCGCCATTTCGGCTGACACGAAGCATTTCGCACTAAGAAGGGTTGCAGTTCCAGACAGCTGCAAAGCTGATGACAGGTCAAAGTCCCGAAGGGGCTCAGACAGGTTGAGCTGGAGGAGCAGGTAGCGCAGGGATGGTACCTTGACGGCAGTGATGGGATCGGCAAGGGTTATTGTGGTCTTGGATACGAATAGCTGCCCGATGACATATGGCGGCTCCATGTCCACTACCACCCACCTCCACCAAACAGATCCAGACACCTAGCGTATAGAGCGCCGGCAGGAAGGAAATGTTTTGCGGGGGATTTTGTCAGTTTGATTGCAAAATCCAAGCTCTATGGCATAAACGGGGGGGTACAACCCCCCCTTTTATGCGTAACCCAGGGGGTAGGGCTAGGGGTAAGGCTTAATATAAAACGTCACTTGGCCCTGCTGCAGGAATTTGTAGTTCCGGCCGACGAATCGGATGCTATTAACACGATGTGTGTGTCGCCCAATTCATGATCAAAAACACTTTACGTAATTGCGCGCGGTCATGCATCAACAGAGAACACAGGCAGGCAGGCAGGCAAGCCGCAAGCAGGAGGGATGGTAAGACCCCAAATCAACTCCGAGTCAGGGGGAGTCCCCCTTGCGCCCTCTTGAGCTACAGTTACAAGGCTAGGCCGCTAGGGCAGGTTGTCGGTTGTGTGCATATTGTATTTACAGCTAGTGCACGTCCACACAGCATGTAAGCTGCAGCTTACCTGAATCCGTATCAGGTAGTCACCGCTGGATCCAGGATGCATTCGCCACGCCGCAGCAATGCTCTCGGTATCGCTTTCCCCCAGCTCCTGCCATTGCAATGATCGCGCTTATGATCAGTGGCAGCGCTTATGAAGTAGCGGGTATTACATATACACAGGGCATCAGCAAAATGCAAACAGTGAAACTAGCTGTAGCAGCTGATACATATTATGGCACACATATCATCTATCCATACGCCCTAAGGCGGCTTTTTGGCATTTTCAAAGAGGCCTTTTCAGCGGCCAGCTTCTACAATAGCAAGTATGGTGAACACATAGACTTCCGGCTGCAGCCGGAAAGATACAAATGAAGCCATACACGTGCCATTGCGTAATTTAGATGGAACAGGATAAAAACCCATGCATACATACTTATTACTGCCTTTTAGCTTAAATTAACTTTATCCCAGATTGTTTCCCTAGCTACCTGCAACACAGTGCCATCCGTCCGTGTTGTGTTTGTTGTTGAATTGCCACCGTGCATTATAAGGTCCTCCAGGGAAGGAAGATCGGATGCTGCTCCTTCTTCTGCTGCCCCTTCTGTTGCCTCCGCAGCAGCCGCTGCTGCTTCTGCTGCTGCTGCTTCTGCTGCTTCTGCTGTTTCTGTTTCTGCTGCTGCTGCTGCTGCTGCTCCTGCCGCTGCTGCCCCTGCGGCTGCAGCTCGACGACGATTTCCCGGGCCAGGAGCACCAGGCGACGACTCTTGTTGCTGATGGCGCCAGGGCGAAACCAGCGCCGAAAACGAACGTGCTAAATTGTTTGGCTCATCCCCGCTGATCCTATCACCAATGCCAAGCATGCGGCTCCCAGTAGTGATAGTCTCGCTGCTGCTGCCACTGGTGGTAGTGGGACTGCCCTTGGCCAGGCCAGCATATACGTCATAATTGCCACCAGTAACACCGTAGCTACCCTGAGTTTCGGGCCCTGAGGAAGTTGAGGTATAGAGCAAGGATGTCCCATGTGCGAGCACATTGTACATGATACCGCAGCCACAGGCCTTACAATAGAGTTTTGAAGGCTGCCCGAGGACCGAGATGGCGATGTAAAAGGGTCCCCGAGAGATTGTGGATACAGCAAAGCTGACTTGGCTTGCTTCAAGAGAACAGACGATGGCAGGGGGTGGAGGTGATGGTGGTGTGGGGGGCTGCGGGGAAGGTGGAGGAGGTGAAGGGGGAGGAGGAGGAGGTGAAGGGGCCTGAGGAAATGATGGGGGCTTGGGGGGAGATGGGGATGGGGGATGAGGGGAAGGCGGGTGAGGAGATGGGGGATGAGGAGAAGGCGGAACAGGGGATGGGGGTTGGGGAGATGGAGGAGAAGGCGGAACAGGGGATGGTGGTTGGGGAGATGGAGGAGAAGGCGGAACAGGGGATGGGGGTTCGGGTGATGGAG